CGAAACTTCTTTTCTTTATAACTTTTTAATAAACAACGAGCGCCGGCTAAATCCTTCTGAGCGTTACTCAGGAGGGTAACCTTGACAACATATGTCAAGCCCAAGGTTATTGGAGGTGGGTGTGTTAATCTAAATAATTACCCATTATGTAAATATAATGATATTAGATATATTTCGTTTTCCGTGTCTGAAAACTTGGATTTATCTCGGAATCGTGTCGCAACCCGGAAATTTGGCCGTGTCGGACGTTACCTGACACGCGGAAATCCTTACTAGTTGTGAAAAGAGTGGCAGAGAATTGAGATTATAAATTTAAATATGTCACAGAGAGCTGTCCGAACATTTTTATTTTCGTCCTTAATCTCCATACATGTCGACGGAAATTTAGCAGTGAGTCTGCGCAAAAAAAAAAGCGCTTTTATTAATAGTCGCGTCCTGTATATGTGATCTCGCTGGTAATACTGTTAGTACAAAGTGGATTTCTACTGGGTATTCATTTACCATTGGTGATAATAGGACAAAGCCAACTCCGATCGGAAGTAACCTTCTTTTTCAACTAAATTATCTGTGTGAGCGCCGTGAGCACCTCCGGGAAATACTTTGCGAAGGTATTGGTCTCATCGGTCTCACTGCCAGTTCACGTAATTTCTGTACTTAAACTTAATCGCCCGAACGTAAGTCCAGCCATGCGACCTTCCAAAATTAATCGTATCGAGAGATAGACAACCCTTAATTAATTTTACACACACACACACATACACGCGCGCGCGTGGGCAGGCCATTTTATCGGAAATTATTCTGAAAACGCTATTATATAAAAGTGCTATTTACTCTGTTTTTATACCTCGTTGATTAAGCAATAATTTCATTTTGTTCTAATAAGGAAAACTTGAGTGCTCGTTTTAATTACGTCTCCCTCGTAGAAAAAAAGAAGAATTATTTCATTTCGTAATGTGGAAATATCGAGACGTGCTACAGTAACATTTATTTTCAAGAAACGAGAGTTACGTAACCGCCTTGTGAAACAATTGCGATCTCGAATTTGCACGGAGCGGCTCCGACGTGAAGCGTTAAAAATTGAATCGCGAAGCCTTCGCGACACTTTCAATCGAGAAATGAAGTGTACTCTGGTCTATGGAGCCGCCAATCCACTTTCATCGATTAAACCCCCGAGATATTCGCGTCACACCTGCGTCTCTCATTCGAATTCCGTGTTGATACGCGATGGGTCCTCTCGCTATTTCTCGGCTCTGGCCATCGGAAAGGACACACAGCTCGCGCATACGTGACGATGAAGATACTTGAATGTCCGGAGACGTGTCAGTCCCAATGTCAGAGAGCTAATTAAAAGTGAACGTTTGAGTAAGTCTCTTTTAGCGGAGCGTCTCTCGCTTGTTTTAATCAGCCAACGGCTTTGCAGTGCCGTAAACAAGGCGACGGTCGGATCTCCTTTGATTATCACTGGCCATAATTAACCCCATCATAAATTTACTAACGACGGGAATTTGACTAGCATTTATCGCGCGACCAGCGTAGACCCTGATTCGTTTGCGATGTTATGGCAATTAGTATTCTACTTTTTGTGCGAGCGCTGTCGTATCATTAAGATTCTTTACATTCTCGTGATGGATTATGTTTCCTCGTTTCCTCGCGTTTCTCACCAACGCTTGCGTCGCCGATATTTACGTCTTCCTGCTGTCAATCTATTTTCTTAACGCTTCTTTAAAAAAAAAGACGTCTTACTTTTGAAATAAAAAGTTTGAACTGGTTAAATAAATTGTTATGATATGTTACGTTAGAACAGTGACGAATTTTTCTATGCGAACACGGAAAAAGAACTGACTGATAAAATTTTTAAATCGTGGACTGTACCAGTCGAAATATTAACCAGTGCGTTAATCGGCTTAAAGCACGTTATCTTATCGTTCTTAGCGACTTAACCTACTGCTTGCATCGCAATTGCACCAGCACGATAGAATCAATATTTGCAATACGGATTAAGCCTGGGAAATATTTATCGTGTGAATCTGAAAGGAATTTTTGCGGAGGTATTTCATTTCCATTCATTCTTTTACTCTTGACACTACATCAAAAACGGAAATAAACTAGTAAATGAAATAATAATGGCACGAAGGAGTTATACGTAAAAAAAAGTATTTTCTAGACCAAACGAAAAAATATGGGATAAAAATATAACAAAGGTGTTATTGGCTATTTTTAATTAAACGTGTGTGAGAGGTTAAAAATTGATTTCGCAAAATTCCAGTTGTGCCACATTAAAGTGACAGTAAATAGAATTGACACTCGACGTGATTTCAGACATTTATATTTATCGAAAGATATATGGCGATTTGTTTATCCGTAATGGACTTTGAGTATAAGGAATATTTCTGAGAAATAATTATGCAACAAACGATCGTTAGTCATTTTGATGTGCGACACATCTGACGAGTGACGCGGAATAATTAATGAATGCGCCAGATGCACATTTTGCCCTGCGAAAAAGATATCGTACTAAAAACGACTTTCTCCTCTCTGCTAATTTTGCGGTTCGTTGCGAATTAGTTTTAGATTAATTCGATATTTAACAAGACAATAACGAGCGCTCGCGTTGTTGGCGAATACACCAAGCTTACAGATGACGAATCGTTTTCCCAAACTTCCTCTACTTTGTCACCGCGATGCAAACTTACCAATAAAGAGGCAAAATAATCTCGTATAATGGTAAATCGATGGGTCCGACAGGCATCTCTCGAAGCGATACTCTCTCAGAGATCCTTTCCGCGTGGATTCGTACGATTCTGACGCGGATCAACCGGGCGGTCTTACGACCGATCCATTTACCAACGATTGCGTCAACGGATGCGGAACGTATCGCGTACTTCCAGCCGTTCGGCGTGCAAAACATATCAGCTGTGTTAAGTTCGACCGGGAACCCGAGCTAGAAGGTCGGCCGGACGTCGGTTAGGCGCCGAAAAATATTTTGCCACGCGCTCGCGCCGAGGGAAAAAAGCCCGAGAAAAATCCGCTCTTCAGAAACGTTCGTCGCGATTCGTGCGCGCGTTCGAGCACGCGTGTCAAAACGATCGCGCGATAACAGGCGAGAGGTGCTGCCGGGTAATTTTCTGTCATCGTAAAACCGCCGCGATAAGCGTTAGAATATCTGCGGCATGCTCATTATCGAGTGCCATAATCGTTTCATTATTCCTTATCCGAATGGTCCCGACGTCACACACCGGAGTCTCTTTGTAAAAGGTAAACGATGGTCGCGTACCGGCGACATCGACGTTTTCCTGCGTTTTTGGAAATATTCCGCGGATGCGACCGGAAATATCCCCGTCGTACGTGACACTTTTCCGATAAATCTCAGATCACCCCTGTTACATGTATCGGCAGTAAAATTGAGCCGCTCAGTCATTATTTATGAACGTTCAACGTACCAAGTCGGTACAAATTGATCCTAATTTTATTTCGGTCCCGCTATTTTATATGCCAACCGGCTGGTTTTAATTGGTTAAACGTGTTCCCGCGAGATACGGTATTATTGTTTCGCGGTATACGTATATGTTTCCCAGCGGGTATTTTCTGTCGCTTTAATGGACCGCTGACGTTTTCACATTTTCACCGGAATTCAGGAAAGCTACTTGAAAGGCAAGGCTGCGGTGCACCTCGGGCGGTCGGGGAAACTCCGCGGAAATGCTCTTGCATTTGATTTTACTCGCGTCAAAGCCCAGAAAAGCCACGCACAAACCTCGGAGATCCGATAGAGGACTCTTTGGAAATCGGAAAATCCCTCCGTCGACGGCGGGCGAGCCGCGGCAGCCAACCCTAAGGAGCTTCCTGTTCTTTCTCCGGAGTCGGAGAGAAAGCTTTAAGGGCTCGTTCGATCGATCGATCGACGGGGGGAAAAAAATCTTGGCGCGCATTGTTGCGTCGCTCGAGAATTCGCACGTCGCCCTGCAAAGAGCCACTTCACATTTGACGATTTATTCACGGCTATATCCGTTCGCCTTTCCCCGCCGTCGAACACCGGCGTGGCACGACACGAGAACGAATGCGAGGAATGTCACTACTTACTGTGCTAATCGTAGATCGATCTAACGCACGTCGTCGGAGGGAATTCGCTTTTTCCTCTTCTTCCGGCTCGTTCGGCGCTCGAGCTGCAGCTCGGAGGACGATTTCTCATCGGGCTCCACGCCCGATTGACTCGAGCGTTACGCGCGACCTTTCACGACGGTCGCGGACCCACAACGGCGGAAGCGACAATGCGATTCATCACTCTGAAAATCCTCGTCCTTCACCGATTCCCTTCGACGTTACGGCGTCGACGGACGCGCGCCGAACTCGCGACAGTTCGAGTGGAAGGGCCGGGATTCGTCGGCAAACGCGACGATCGAGCGACGCGAGATTCGCACGCGTCGGTTCTCAACGAAATGCACTCGGGCGATAGCTGGATGGCTCGGTAATTAATTCTAGGCTGGGTAATTAATTCTGGGCTGGATGATCCCTGATTGACACGTCGCGTGGTCCCGCGCGGGCACGGTTTGTCCGCTGGTAGGAACGTTGGTAACTGTTTGCCGTTGGCGAAAAATCGACGGCCTCAACGTCAGCGGCGCCGTGCAACGTCAGCTGCCGCTGCCGGCTGATTCGAGTCGGGAGTCGGGAACGCGCGCACGTGTGGACGGTCGATCGTCGGACTGTCGCCGGAGCGAGCGGCGGCGAACAGCTGATCGGTGGTGGGTCGAGAGCGAATCGACCGACCTGCCCGACTCCTGCGAACCGACTAAACGCGCTCTCTCGTCACCGGGTTCTCTCTCGCTCTCCTCGCGCGACCCCGCAGCCTCCGGCTCGCGACCGCGACGCGTTCTCGCCGGCCGGGGTGTCCCGGCTCAAATCACAATCGCACACGGCACATACGTCCGACCTCCCCCCGGCACCGTCGCCGGATTATCGGCGTGCGTTGGCGGTGTCTTGGCGCGCACGTGCTGGACCACGAAAAGGCAGACGGCGGATCAAAGGCCGGATCGACCGCCACCCGCCGGGCTCTCTCACTTGCACCGGCTACGCTTCCGCCGCAGCTCGACTGACTGAACTGGCCTGGGCTTAACTCGTAAGCGTATGACTCGAGCAGCTCCTCCGTCGCGCCGCCGGAACCTCCGTCTTCTCTCGCCATCTCTCTTTTTCTCTTGCTCTCGGCGTCTAGCCTCGCGGAACGGCCCATGTTCGAATTGCGCCGGGACACAGGGGGAAGAGCGAGGGAGGTGGTGCAAGGTGCAGGGCGCAGGGGCACAGGAGACGGAGCAAGTGGGACAGATAGGTGGAAAGAGAGGAGAGTGTCCTCCTCCTGACTCCTCGCATTTTCCGCGCGGAACGCGACTTGATTTCTTCATTATTGCAGGTGCATTATTAAACTATCTCTAAACTACAGTTCCTCTTTGGCAACTGGTATTTCCCATGTTAATACGGAATTGCGATTCAGACTTTTCCAATGTTACGAGTATTTTCTTCAACATTTATCACAGTGCACAATCAACGGACAGAGCGGAATTTTGCTTCTAACTTTGTAGCTAACGCGCCTGGCAGTTTTCTTGCGACACTCAATGGTTTTTATTTATCTTGTCGAATATCGATCGTCTGATAGACAAAGCGCAGGTTGCGCTTTCAGGATTTATGTATTAATAAATAGAAGGTCGTACAGATAAGTAAAACGTTGAGTGAGAGAAACGCACGAAGGGAAATTCGCTGGAACCTTGAAAATAAAGTAAACTGTGGGGAGATTATACGCGCATAGCTGGCCAAAAATCACTACCCGTTCCAATTGAAATTGCACTAAGGTAATCTTGTTTTTACCGCTCCCTTATTTACTCGTGTCGATTCGTGTTCGCAACATATTCACCAAGAAAGAACAAATTTAAAGGATATTTGTATAAATATAAAATTAAACAAGTGACCGGACTCCCGTAATTAAAAGTCAAGAATAAAAAGGATTTAGGCTGCGAGAGTCAAACGCGGTTATTAGTGCGCGTCGACCTGATATAATTGTTCAAATACAATTCTTGATTACAAGTTTCGCGCGTTTCGGTTAAAGCGAGGGGGAAACCGCTGAGCAAAATCTTGTACACGCACCGGCATAAATGCTGTCCCTATCCTTGTGAGGTGCACGCACACAACTACAGGGACTCTAGTTGTGTGCATGCATCTCACAAGGATAGGGACAGCATTTATGCCGGTGCGTATACACCAATGCCCACTAATGCCCCAGCAAGGCCTAATGCCCCAAAAATGCCCAGTAATGCCGCATATCTGTACACCGCAATGCCCTCGGCGGTTTCCCCCTCGGATTAAAGGTTTTAACCATAGTTCAACGATGAGTTCTTTAAGATGTGCATATTTCTATAAGTAATTATGTACTCTCTAAAAATCAATCGGTAGATTGTCACTGAAAACAGGGAATATTCACCGATTCACAGTTATAACTGATTGACTTTCAGAGAGTAGCTTAATAATATCTGCAATATTGACTGACCATTTGATGGCTAATGACTTTTGACCCACTCTGTATATCCATATGCCTATATATATATATATATATATATATATATATATATATGTATATATATATCCAATTAGGTATTGTATATCCGCATATTGTGGTACGCTATTATCTCGATTATTGCGCGTATGTATATCTGTATATACGCATTCTTCTGTCAATAAAAATGCTTGTGGTAAACTCGCGCTTTATTTCCCGTAGCTAGAATTGTAGAACACGTCGTCACTTCGCGAAAACGACGTCCTGCGAATGATTTTATCGCCGTATCTCGCCAAATATAAAAACGCGAAATTTCAAGGATAACACGTGAAATTGGAGCCGCGCGAAGGATTTTCCAAGGAGGATTATCGCGGGCAACTCATGCGTGCTATTGACCCGAATAATTTGTCCGTTCTTGTTTCGAGCCGTCGCTCAAATATATAAATTGCACTCGATACTTCGAGGGTCCCTATCAATCACTGCGCTCGCAATTTGTATATTTTAAGTGCATTATACGGTTACACGTTAGTGCGTGTACATAATTACACTCGAATTTTAACGGTTTTTAAACACGAACTCGCGAGTAACGTCATCTCACCTCGCTTAATATACGTGCACACGTCATATATAAAATTCCACTTCAGGTAATTGGCGTATGAATAATTGATTATTAAATCTGCTATGGTGTTGTTATATGGTCCCGTCATACACACACACACACACACACACACACACACATTGCGTGTTTAAACACTCGCGCTCCGAAAAATAGGGCGAGTAAATTTCGAATATCATGCCTGACTAAAACGTGATGTGGTAGCGGTGAGGAATAAATTTGATAGCTCATCGATTCCCTCCCGGGGGAGATTCTTTTCGACGCCGCGAGGTTCGCAAACAACATCGAAATATAATTAACCGTATCGCGGCCTCGTGCACGTTGCCAGGTTTAATTCGACATGTTAAATCGGCTCGGCCTCGCCTGCACCTGTGCACCAGGAAAGGATGCCCATTATTCAACGGTTCATTGCTAAATCGCGCGTGCCTATGGTACCTGCTCACTTGCTACTTGACAAACCAGAGAGTGTCCTTCATCCATGCCGCCGCCGTGGCACGGCGGAAGAACGGCAAGAAAAATCAGGAAGTAGGATTTCACGCGCAGATACATTCCTCGCGCGTGGATAAACATGTCAGTGGCATTCGACTGGTAGTCGATAACAAACGTATGCTTCGAAAACATTTGAAAATTTTACGCAACGTCTCCCCCCCCCCTCTCTCTCTCTTTCTCTCTCACGCGAATGATTGTACATAGTGGCACATAGGGGAGGTCGCGAGGACGAAACATGGAATATCAGAAATTCTTATTTATATGTACAGATACTGCTGACGCTCTGCGTCAGACGACGCGGAGGCCCTGGCGAAATACTCGAGTTTTACAAAACCGATACCGATAATTCGGCTGTAATGCTTCCCGTGCTGGTTAACGATACGTTCCAATTACAATGGACGATTAAACTGTAAAACAGCGAAATAGATTGCAATTAATACATCCGCCGCGCGGATACGTTTCGCAAACAATAAACTATTATCACGCTCTATCGCACTTTGACGTATTTCCGATCATGACGATAATAAACGAGACGAACGATTCACGCGAACCTATACGGCTTGTACAAATAATCACGCCTAATTAGCAGAATTATCGTACAGGGTGGTTCGTGTTAATCGTACGACTATTTCTTTGAGCGACGGATACTAGGTTTGGAAATAAAGAAAATTGATATCACATGCTTCGGTTGATTTTGTGACATAGTTGTGTTAAAAGAACTCAAAATGATATTCAATGTTTAAATGACGTGCATAAAGTGTCAGGTTATCATGTTAACATAAATATAAAACATAAAAATTTTACGAACGTAATAACATGTCTGTTTTATGTTAATTTTACATTGAAATAATAATGAAATCTTGGTAACACAAGAAAATTTTAACATTTCAACGCGCCATTTTTTACCATGTAGTAAAATAAATCGAGGATAATTTTACCTTTGTCTTAAGTTTCATTCATTTTATTCTTAGCAGACGTTTAATTAAAACTTTGTCTGCTAAAATATATAATATTTAGTGTAAAAGAAATACGCGGAGTAAAGAAATTTTTTGCGAGGGAAAAAGTTCACTTTAATTTCATCGCGTAATCCGTGGCTAACGGAATTATTCGATGATCCTGAGTCACCGAGTCTAGAAGTGCCAGACAAACGGCGACGGACGTCACGTCATTCCAAGTACGACACTTAATCGCGTTCGTTGAGTCAATGATATTTTTCGCGAATCCTTTTGACGCAGATTTAAGATAAACGTTTCTGATTTCCAAGAAGAGAACAATCTATCGTTGTGCGTTAAATTTTGCTTCCTTGCTGTAGTCACGACTTTCCACTCAATCAAAACGATTAATCTAAGTGGTTGGTCTCGGGACTCAATTTGCTTAAAGATCCATCTTATTTACCGGTTAATCAGGATCAAATGGTCTCGTAAATAATTTGAGCGTCACGTGCTCGGCGCGACCGTGCCAATTATCTGTCGCGCTGAACTTATCTCGCGAGAGACCGTAACACTTATACGAGTCGCATAAATTATCGTTACTAATGTACCGTTGGAAGAACCGGCCAAGCTTTTGTTTCGTCGATTTTTCCCTAATACGTAAACTCTCTCGACAGCGCAATTGATCAGCGAATCTCAACGGCGGGTATCGCTGCAAAACCGTTTCAAACCTCTGTTAGCAGGTGGTGCTGTACAACAGGAGAGGCTCTCTGCCTTACCACCCTATCGATATTAAACATATATACGAGGATGCACCAGAATAAATTTATGACAGTAGCCAAGTCTTGCTCTTCAAGTCACATATATTTGGGGTTTTCTTGATAAGCAAGATTGCCACGTGAAGCAGAGGATATTTCAGCATGTAAAATAGGTCGTACACCGGAGGAATAAGATTGCAAACCGCGAAAATTACACACAAGGATCGATGGTGAATTAGAAACGCTGCAAGAGTATCAATTTATTTCTATAAAGCGAAATAGCGAGAGCGAGCTAATTGTAAGTTATATCATATTTCGGAGGAGTAGGGTTGCAAAAGTGTGAATATTACATACGAGAATCAATGTTGAATCAGAGACACTTGAAAGGTGTCAATTGATTTCTAAGCGAAATAGCGAAGACGAGCTAATTGTAGGTTTGAATTAATTTCGAGTCGCGAGTTAGGTTCCACCTGCTGTAGACCGAGCGTTGATCCCGTAGCCTGTTCGTTTCCTGGCAGTCTGTACAAAATAGTAACGATCGTTTATGTGCACTACGCGATATGGTGGTGTCACGGAATAACGATAATAAAAATGAAGCCATCGCGAGAGGCCGGCACTCGATATCTCTCGCGCGCTTTCATAACATAATACCCGGGGCACCGCCGGAAATCCAGCTGTAAAATGTAGAGGGATTCCCATGGGGACTCTTGTTCTGTAAAAGGCATCGATGCACTTGACGATATATCTTGCGGAGGAAACTGTTATCCGAGATACTTCGCACCGCGAATTTCGATACCATCGACATCGCTTTAACGATCCGCGCGAGACTAAATTGAATAGAGGGGCTCGAGATCGATCCTACGTTCTCGTAACCCGATTAAAGCCTTCGTAGTTATT